TGTTTATTCATTTTATTTGTCTCTTCTTCATTCGTTCCCCCCTTATCTTGTGCCCTTTAAAAATTATACGTGGGAAGAAGAAATCATGCTGACGTAATTCTGGGATGGTTGGGTTGGAATAGAACGCTATTGAGCGTGCGCATGCTGCTTGGTTGGAAGGGAAAATCGATAAGACGGGTGTTATGATCCATAGAGTCATTTCGGAGGTGGATATGGGGCAGCCCATTCTGGTCAGAGAAATTCCGTTTGTGAAGGGGGAGGATGAGGATCTGCATAAGTTTGAGCAGAAGGTGCATGAGGTTGAGTGGGGAGTGGTGATTGAGGGGGTGAAGCTTACGATCCAGGAGGTCAAGGAGAGCCGGTAGATTTTATTGCTCTTACGTGAGAGGGGTGTGGCTGGTGGATCGGTGTTTTTTGGCCATGAGTGATGATTGTTACTAACTATTGGGGTCTAAGATACCATATACTACTACGAAATGGACTGAGAGGCATGTATAATGTGCGCTGGGTTAATAAGTCGACTATTAAACGCTACTTCAGCGATGGACGCGCGCTCTTCATACGAGGGCGTTTGACATTCCTCATATGGTGTTGGGACGGAGTTTAACCCTCTCTGGGAACCACATTGGATGGAGAGACTCACGATGAATGGCTAGAACATCCGACGCCGTCTCTTCTTTAATATAATGGCACTATACTAGTCACCGGATACTAGAGAGTTGTAGTACGTATTGGACGCGCAGATACGAGATCAAGTGGCTCCCACATGGACCGGACTTCAGAATCTACTTTCCCCTCTTGCCAAGTGACTGCTGGCTGGTAAAATCCCAGTCTAAACCGGTTGAAAGCATGGTCACAGCAATTTGCTAGGGTTGTTTAGCGTGGTTTCTCCCTGGACAGTCACGTAGTCAGTACGTACTTCTGCTGGGCCGGCATGGCTCCCTGCTAGTGCACCAAGGCTCAAGGAAGGAGCACGTTCGTACTTTCCTTACTGAAAGAGGCAGCTCAAATGGGCAGGAATTAATTGATTTCCCAAGACAACTCGGGCAGAAGGGACAGACAAGGGCCTCAGGCTGCACACACACACAAAGCATGCGCTTGGACCCAGCAAGAAAACACACCGGCAGCTCCAATGCACTAAAACCAGAGTTCTCCTGTCTGGTCATCATCAAGATTGGCCCAACAAGTTGAAGATCGTCTGGTTGACGCCCCAGAAGAGATTAAATCCTTACTCTAAGGAAGGTCATGCCATGCCTGGTCTCCGCCTGGTTGCTCTCTCCCCACTTTCCGATCCCTTCCCCTTCTCCTCCCTCAGGTTCCAGTGCCTACTACTGATGCTAGTTTCAGAGACTCAGTTTCTTGTTTCACAGGGATGATTACTTGGCATGGCTGCTACTGTTCATATCTGGATGTTTTGCAGAGTTAGCCCTCTGGCCTGAACGACTCAGTAAAGCGGAGCTTAAACAGGTCCAGTAACTCTGAATGAGCCCTCTGGTCCACAGTTTCTACCCTCGACACGAATACATCACCTCCGATGGCACGTCACGACGGGGGCCTCCGACGGATGAAACCTTCCCCTCCCCTAATGCACTTCTCAGCTAATTCGACGCATTGATAGGCCAGCGTGAGGATCCAACGGCTGATGTGCATCACGGCTTTTCCGTCCCCCCCGAAGACAAAGTGCTTTTGCTGTGGCCCTTGCTAGTTTGTACCCACGTACACTATCTATGCTAGGGTAACATCATAAGTGGGCTCGAGGAAAAACGTCTAGTATCCTGCGTTGGGAAGGTATGCGCGCCGGCTCCACTCAGACGACAATGATATGGTGATGGAACAACGCTGGACGGATCGTGGCTCGGCACTTCTACTGGTGGCCACCGTACTAGCAACACGGAACTCTTTCCCTTGCCCTTACTCGCCCCATTTGCAGCATAGCTTCACCGGAAACAGAATTAACTAGCGGCCCAATCCAGCTGGGTACTTGGTTGACTTCCGGCCTGCGGCCCGGATCATAGCACGTACTCGTATTCTTCTGGTGGCTCTTGCGTTTCTCGTTGCGCTGCCATGACTCTCGACCACTGGAAGAGTAAGAACGGGGATTACGGGAAGAATAACATCAATGTGATGATCTGCAGAATCTATATCTGCTCCCCTAGCAGCAATCATCGAGTGGAAGCAATCGCATTCTGAGGCCTTTCCGCGTGATCTGATATCCGCCGTGCCCCATTACAGACCCCGTTCGAAAACGTTCTCTGATCGATAAGTTGTGCGTGCGTACTATAGTCTAGGTCCAGAAATTATTCAGCGGAAATCCCGAGGGTTACTTGTGGTGGAGCTGTCTGCTATTACAAAGTACTGGCTGATTGGGTCCCTGGGTGACTGGAGATCCCCGACTATGTTCCCCGAACACTAGTGAACCCGCGGCACATGCCATTCGCCATGCCCGGGGCTTCCTGCACACCTTTACCCTCGAAGACTCGTGCAGTCACAATGAGCGCAGGTCCGGACTGGCCAATGGCTGCATATCATTCATGCATACAAGTCCGGATAAAAAGTAATTCACAATAGCAAGGAAGATCACTCTATTCATAGTTTATTGATCAACAAGAGCGTCCCAAATTATCCCAGGATGGAGAAAGAGCATATTATTGCCTACCCTCCGTTTCAAAGAACTGCAAGGATCGTCCTGATGAACCAGGTAGCCCAGAGATTACCTAGTTTGCGCAGCCTATGAGCAGTCTCCATATGGGCCTCATTTCCTAAATCCCAAGTTGTTTGATTGACTAGCCACAGCTCCCCTCCACGGACGGAGCAGTTGGTCCTCCGCATATCCGTTGTCCCAGCCGCCTGAGGCTCCGGGCTCTTCCAGAAAGGTACGATTAATTTCCATAGCCTCTATGATTGGTGGTGGGAGAAGAAAAATCAGGGCCAGATGCCTCATGCCGGGTCCGCATGGAAAGGGGAACCGTCCGTTTTTGGCACACTTTAAGAAGCAAACATACTGTCCACATGGAGGCACCCACATCTTCTCCGGACGCCTGCCTTCTTTGAGAGTGCATTATTACCTTTGGTCCACAGTTCGTGGTGGTTACCTGTTTTATCATGGATATGGTGGATGGGGACAACGTGCGACCGTCGGCACCAGTTCTCAGCAAACCTTACTTTTCTCTGCCACGTTTCCAGCGGCGAACCAAATTCAGGTACCGACCGGCCGACAGTAGGTAAGCTCCTCTTCTCTCTGTCTCTCCTTGAATATTTCAGATTCTTCTTGTTCTCGTCGCAGACAAGCGATGCATGTAAAGAGTGCCGTGAATTAGGGCAAATGTGGGCCGCAGCGATGCGTCGAAGTACGAGGCGATAAAATTGTTAGGGGACCTACGGCTGAGACTAGGGCCGTCAAGAGTCGCCCAGTGCCGGTTAGATTGGTGGCCCCAGCTAGATCTGGGTGGACGGCGACCAGTCACCAGCGGAGGCCACTCAGCCTACTCAGCTGTCAAACCCTCAGTGTCGATCAGGAACATCCGACTGACCCGAATCCAATTTGCCTCCCTGCGAGGCCACGCCGTCGTGGTGGCCATTTCTTACGGCCGACGACAACAACGACGACGCAAATGCGGCCCATCAAATCTCCTTGGCGCAGTTTAGGTTCAATATTCCCCCAGCTCGTCTTGCTGGCTGAGCGACAGCATCATGGATGTCGTCCAGTCGTCCCTGCTATAGTTCACAGCGGGTGCTATAACCTCATTTCCGGTGACAGACGGGGACCCCAGAGCTGGTTCAGAGCTTTTCCGAGTGCGTGGGTGAACGAACGTCTCGGCAAATGTTTCCCAGATCGGGTGGTGTCATTGGATAGGGGCAGTTTCAGATTAGCCGAGGAGCATTCTGGCGGCTTCAAGTGGATCCCAGCTGGGGCTGGCGGAGTCGCCCGTGGCAATGGGACGGCGTTAGTGGTTGCTGGCCCTTCAAAGAAGGTTTGACCGCATCCACTGCAATTGCTATGACTCTAGAGGTGGAGGAGCAAGAATGCAATGTTATGAACACTAATACTTTACGAGTCCGTATAAGCCTAGGTTAGCTACAATGCCGTGGTTGTCGGCGTCTTCACGAGTCAAAATACCACAGAACATTCGGGATTTGCGCAGGGATCTCCCTAGCAGCATCCGCAGGCACCGTATTCATGGATTGAACGATCAAGGCAAGTATGGCCACCCTGACTCGGAGATCGTTCACTCGGGTTTTTACAGTGTGAAGGATAGGTTTCTCGGAGCCGGGCGGATCCACCCACCCACGGTTCCGGATGCACCCAGACTGCTGGCCTGATTCATGACGCTGTTACAGCCTCCGAGCAGAATGTCGGGACTAGCTTCTACTTTATTTGAGACAATGCCCTAGGCATTGTGATTTGAGCGGACACCCACGGAACCATGGCTTGTACTGTCGTCGGGGAGAAGCCGTGGCTGAGAATGACGCCGTCCCCCCTTGGCGGGGAGGAAACTATTCCCTTGTCTTGTGCTCAAGCCTCTTGGCAGGAGGATGAACTTCTGCTGGTCGTAATCTGATCCGTGGATGGGTCTGGATAAGAGTGATACTTAGAGTGACGACTGGGTGACAATGTGGCGGAAAGATAGAGTGATGTGATCTCATGGGAGAGAAGGAGGGAGGCAATCAGCTAGCCACCACCGGCCGGAGTGTACAGTTGTATACTACGTACGGGCTGTAGTATCCATCTTGTCGGCACCTTCCGAAACCTCCTCCGTGATGGGGATCATGAGCCTGGGCAGGGGGAGAGAACGGATTTTCCCAACAGACGTGGATAAATCATCGATAGGTCGTGCGTGAGAGGACGATCATCGAGATCCAACGCGGCCCACTCGAGCAAGTAGCAGTAGTAGTATCCATCTATTAGTAGGACTAGCAAGCAGCAAAAAGGTTCAGGTTGATACTCCAACCGCCAGGCCACTAGGGGAGGCTTGACTCCAAACTAGGGCGGGCTTAATTAATGCCGGACAGACGAATGGGATAGAATTAAGGTGAGAACCACCATGTTCTAGCGCTGGCGGGTCATCCAGATAATAGAGGAGCAACGAGACTAAGGGGAAGGATGGGAAGTTAAAGTTGTGGTGCCCTTGATTGATTGCTTGGATTGCTTTTGGATGCATTGCCTCTTCCGGTCAGCCCCATCCCCAATCCTCTCTCTCTTCTCCCTCTCTTTCTCTCTCTCTTCCCATTTCGCTTTCTTCTTTTTTTTACATCCTATTCCTCTCCCACTATTTGACTTCTTCTTTCCTCTTTTTCCATTTTTCTCTCTTCCGATTTATTTCCTATTGTTCTGCTGCGTGGTTGGTGGCTTCCACCCTCTAACTCTTACTCTTACCTTTGCCCTCCCCTCCCTTCCGCGTTCCTTCTCTTTGTTTCCTGCAATCACCCGGACACCGAACTGTTTGCTACCATCTTTATCATCTCCATCAGCGTTCCTCTGACTCAACATCCTCCCTCCTGTCATTTCTCTCCTCCCATCACCTCCCTTTCAGTGCGTGCTGGCTATGCGGATCGGGCCTCTCCGCCATCGGTGCCCATCTATCCGGTGCTGAACGACTTGACTGCAGTCGATGCCGGCCATCTCGACCCTCTACCGCTTGGGTTCTTCGATGCGAATCACACCATGGCACCTCCATACTCCAGTTCCCAGGCCGCCTTGACCGGCTATACTCCCTCCTTCCTGTCGCTGCAGGACCAGAACCCTCCACTCTCCGCCTACTCCATCCTAGGGACCGGACAATACCCCGATAGTGTCGCATATTGGCACAATCCATCCGCGCAACCCCAGCCGCCGCTACCTCCCGCCGCCGTCGCCGCCTCCTATCCGTCCGTGCCCCCAAAGGCTCAGTCGCTCCTTCAACCCACTTCTGATCAGAAGAAGCATAAGCGCACTCGCAGTGGCTGTTTCACCTGTCGATCCCGTCGCATCAAGTGCGACGAAGCACGTCCCGTCTGCGACAGATGTCGGAAGGGTAACCGCGACTGCGTCTATCCGTCAGCCACAGGTGCAGTAAAGTCAGGAACTCGTAATGTGTCCAAGCCCAGAGGATCACTGTTGCGTGGGAGTGAGACTTCCGGTCACCCGGGATCCGAGGACTTCCGCGTCTTGGAGCCCATCGCCGACGAGGATGAAGATGGAACTAGTGTCGGGTCAAGTACCCGACTGTCCCCAACAGCCGCACCCACATGGTCCAAACCCAAACTCCCCAGGAGACAAAGTGGTCAGTCTTTGAAGCAGCAGGGTGGAAAGCATGCTGTTGCGACCGACTCGGGTGGTGCACGAATCGAGCATAGTAATTCGCCGTCCCCGTCCTCGGATACGTCATCTAGATACGACTCGCTAAGCGCTCGGTCGGCCAGCGTCGGTGTCACCCTGCCCGAACCATACGGATCCACTCTGCCCAGTATAGCACATCTGCCCGACGACCTGCGATTTTATCTCAACTACCACCAAGAGTTCATCACGTACCGTCATTATTTCTTGAAACCGGTCAATGACCGGTTCGTTCATCAGAGTATCATTGAGCTGGCTTTGCAGTATGATCCCCTGCTGTATGCCGTGGTGGGGTTTTCTGCATATCACCACTGTGTTCAAAATAACAGTGGGAAGCTTTACACCTTTTTGAAATATTACAACTTCGCGTTGAAGCTCCTGCGCAAGTCCCTAGGCTCAGGTGAGCCGCATAATGAGGCGACCCTGATCACGGTGCTTGTCCTCACCACTTTCGAGGTAAGACATACAGCCTGTTTTTGTGCTTTTCAGAACCATACTGACTCGCCAGGAATCCGTCGGGGACTGGGTCAACCTTATTGGCCACCATCAGGCTGCTCATGCCTTGGTGCGGGAGATTCTAACGCCAGAGTCTGCCAACCTGAACGAGCTTCACAGCAACATCTTCGTCTGGTACGCCCGGTTCGACGTGGTAGCAGGGATCTTGGCCGGAAATGAGACGATACTAAGTCGTGACTGGTATATTGCGAAAGAGGAATATGATGCTCAGGAGGCCGCCCGCAATCCAAACGATGCCATGAAGCAATTGGCGTTGGCAAATTCGATCAACCGCCGGTTTGGCTTGGAAATGGCGTCGCTGTATGCGAAGTTGTCGCGTGGACTGATTCCTGTGAATGAGTTTATCGTCCAGAACGAACTGTTGGGACAGACCTTGGAAAGGGTACGGACCATCCTGGAATCGTTCAACGACTCTGAATACACCGTGCAGGAGTACCCCAATCGCGTCCCCTTGACCTCAGACGATGTCGTGGATCCGTATGTTCCTGGGGGGATGCACCACGGGCCCTTGTGGGAAGTCAACATGACGTGGGTTGACTACTACTCCACCAAGGCTATGTACAAGTATCAGTCACTTCTTTCGGTGAAGCAATCATCGGTGGAAGAACTGCAATCCCTTTCGGTAGAGCTGGTCCGGCTGATGGAGGCGGTTGATCGATGGCCGATGAAGGAAAGCGGATGCATCTTGGCGTTCAAGAACAGCATCGGGATGGCAGCCATGTTCTGTCCTCGCGACGAACGGTACATAATGTGGGCGCGGAGGAAGTTCGCTCAGCTGGAGCAAAGCGGGTAAGTATCGCCAATTAGGACGACACTAGATATCAGCTAACCGTGTTGGATTAGATACGTCGTTGCAGCCACATTCCGGGCGGCACTGGCAGCCTCGTGGCAAAAGCCCGAAGTCAATCGCTGGTGGTTGCCAGACGACGAGGGATACCCGAGCATCATCCGGGAAGTGCGAGCGATGACGGAAGAACGCACGAGCCACCCTCAAGATAACTTCCGTGAGGATGTCAGCCATATGAAGACGCTGTTTTGGAACATCAGCCTGGACGACACCTCCAGCGAGGGGAGTCCCGCATCGGTGAACACGGAAGGTCGATCATGACAGCCTGCTGTACCACTGCAGCTGGTTGCACAACAGACGCAGCATGTTTCACTGTGCATAACGAACGAGTACATACAAACACCTAAGCACAGCATGGGGTTCTACAGTAACGAATCCAACGATGATCCTTACCCTCCTCCACTCGGTCACGCATGGCCACCGCTACGCCTTAATGAATAATCACTGGTTGTCTGATGACCCAACCCACATTCTTTTGCTCTCGCAAGGTGACATGCATGACTGGAACGAATTGATACCCGGATACCACACGAGGATTGGCCTGGAGCAAGACATTGGATAGGAATCTGTCTACTTATTTACATACCTACTACATACATACCCATTGGATCATATACATGCGCTAGATACCCAATATACGGACTACACATCATACAGAACAATAAACACACTCTATACATATCCACCCTAAGAACCAGAACCAGCCTGACCTCTAGATAATCCAACTCTCCCCGGCACCTCAACAGCAGGAACCACCGTCTCCAAACCCCCTCTCAACTCCCCAATATTATCCGCAACCCCCATCTCCTCCCCCCACGGCAACGCATCCACATCCACCCCCCACCCCAACAAACACCTCAACACCACCCCAGCCCCAGCCTTACTCATCACCTCATTCATCTCCTTACACCTCTCATCACAACAACACTCCAAACACCCCTGCGGCATCACACACCCACACGCCTCAATCCGCCTGACAGCCCGTTCCAACAACACATCCACAAACTCAAACGCCTTCGCCGCAACCCCCGACCCACACGCTCCCCCCTTCGCATCATAAAACGTCAATCTCGCCGGCCTCTGTCTCGCAGGCGGATGCAGAATCTTCTGCAACTTCTGCTTATCCATCCCCCCGGACCCTTTTGCATCCTGTACAGCCATCTGCAACTTCCTCCCCAACTCCTTCTTCGCAACCTTACATTCCGTCCGCACGTCCCCGGGAGAAGAGACCACGAAAGTAGGTAATAGTGACAGGATCGCGTGCTCGGCTGCGTGTATCGCTGCTGCGATGTTGAGGTTTCTTGATGAGAGGATTTCCAGAGCTAGCGGGGGGATGTCGATCCACATTCCTTTCGTGTGGATGTCGATCGGGGGGTTGTTGTCCACGGGTACGGCGTCGAGGATGCGTCCTCGTTTGTCGATCTTGAAGAATCCGTAGACTACGGCGTGGATGAGGATCGAGCCGAAGTAGGCTTTACTTACTGTTACTGTTGTATTTGTGTTGGTGTTGTTGTTATTGGGTTGTGGAGTGGGGGTTGATTCTGAGGAAGAGTGTGAGTGGGTAGATGTAGAGAGAAGACGAATATTCTCCGTCTCGATGGGGTCGATGTCGGTGTAATCGCGTTGCTGGGTGGTATAATCCACATGGACGCGCGAGACACGGGCGAAGTACATCGATGTGTTGAGCTCGTGCACGAGATACGTCTGCCCCTGGTGGAGGAAGATACCCCCTTCGTAGATGGTGAAGAAGGCGCGGGAAGCTTCGACTTCTTCGAGGACGGCGTTGCGGGCGTTCGTCGTGTCTATGACGGCGAAGTGCTGGTCCTCGGTATCGCGGATGGCGATGGAGCGGGACGGGTTGGGAAGGAAGCGCGGGTGGGTGTGGTAGAGGGAGGGGATGTATTTATCTTGGAGGAGGCGGGATTCCAGGAGGGTGTGGAGTTGAGGACCGAAGTATACTTCGTCGATAGCAGGGGAGAGGGGTTTTTCGTAAGCGGCGCATTGGAGATGCGCTTCGAGGATGAGGTCGTTCGACAGGTCGATTTGCAGCTCTGTGTTTGGTTTCGTGAACAGTTCGTCTGGGTTACGCATGTAATGCTGGTCTGTGGCGTAGCGGTCTCCGACTAGGATGGAGAGCGAGTCCTTGTTCCGGCGGCCGGCGCGGCCGCTTTGTTGGCGGAGGTTGGAGATGGAGTAGGGGAATCCTAGGGTGATGACTGCGTCGAGGGAGCCGATGTCGACGCCTAGTTCGAGGGCATTGGTGGCTACGATGCCGAGGAGACGGCCCTCGAACATGTCCTTTTCGATATTGCGGCGGTCTTGCGGGCTGTAGCCGCCGCGGTAGCCCATGACCATGTTGGCGATTTCGGGACGGTCGAGGGCGGCGAGTTCGGTGCGCACGGCTTGGAGGAGGACTTCGCAGAGCTTGCGGATGCGGCAGAAGGCGATGACGCGGGCGCCGCGGAGGATGAGTTGGGAGAAGAGACGGGCTGTTTCGGAGACGCTGTCGGCGCGGCCGGAGGAGGGGTCGTTGGGGTCTTTGTAGGGGGTGTTCCAGCAGAGGAACTCCTTGCGGCCGGAGGGGGAGCCGTCGGAGTCGATGAGGTGGATGAATTGGGGGTCGACGCCGAAGATGGCGTGCATGTGTTGGGAAGGGTTGGCGACGGTGGCGGAGCAGGAGATGAATTGGACGGAGTGGTTGCCGACGGCGGCGCAGATACGGCGGAGACGACGCATGATGAAGGCGACGTGGGTGCCGAAGAGGCCGTCGTAGACGTGAAGTTCGTCGACGACGACGAATTTGAGGTTCTGGAGGAAGGTCCGCCAGGCGGCTTCTTGGGGGAGGATGGTGATGTGGAGCATGTCCGGGTTGGTGAAGATGATGCGGGCTTCGTC